TTTTCAAAAAGACCAAAAAAGTGAAAAAGTATATTTTAACAAAACGCATTTGACTAACAGGTCGAACAACAAATGTTCTTAAACCATGCTGACTGCCATTGGCGATTGCCAAATAAACGGATTACCGATGTAATAAATGGATCTTAATTATAAATTTAATACTAAACAGAAAACAATAAACTTGCGGAAAAGATGGTATATCGCAAACAAAAGGTGTAAATGTTTTTGTACACCATATCCGGATTTCGACAATTAATGTCTCTTCAGTGATGTTAGGAATCGAAACGGTATTTGGAAAGACTTATATATATAAATTGCCTAACAATGTAATTTTAACACACTATTTAGTATGTAAATATAAGAATGTTTAAAATATTTACAAAATGATGAAAATAAACGCAATATTTCGCTAGACTAACTAGCTTTATCAAGCGTGCATCTATCCAGGTGAAATCGGATGTAGATGATAAGAAACTTTTGCAGCTCAATGTATATGTTGCACTTGAATTTAGCTGCCTTGAAAATAATAAATAATTTGAATGAAGTTCAAGATATTTACAAAATTGGTAGTTGAAGTTAGCAACGTCCATTGGCCAATATTACAGGATAAAAAGGACGATGCTGTGTACTAAATTATTCTTTATCTTTCCTGTATCTTTTCTCATCTTTTTCGTTAAGACCATCAGGTTCTAAAGTGTGGAGTTGGTGGAACCAAAAATTTTCTCTTCTCCTTCTCGCCGTGGTGTCCCACTCGGTGTTGACTTCTATGATTTGGAAGGTAACATTATCAAAAGAATGTTTCGTTGAACGAAGATGTCTTGTGAGAGGACAGTTTTTGTTGGTTTTGTACCATGAACGATGGTTATTGAGCCGAATATTAAATTTGTCCATTGTTTCTCCCACATACTGAATGCCACATGTGTCACATGTTAATATATAAATTGAGTTCTCCGTTTTACAGTTGGAATTTGAGTAGATGGTATAATTTTGTTTAGTAACGGAGCTGATGAAAGAACTGCTTGTATTGGCAGCTTTACAACACAAGCAGTTCCTTCGACCACATTGTTTGTAGCAACCGGGAGATGGAGTAGGCTGCTTTGCTAATACAGATGTCACTAATTTGTCACGGATGTTTTTAGGTCTTCTGAAGGCCATGACTGGTGGTGAGGAAAATACTTTTTTAAGATTTGAATCATTTTCTATAATTTTCCAATGCTTCTGAACAATGGAAGACACATTTTTAAAATCAGGATGGTAAGTGAGTACAAGGGGTGTTCTGTTAGCTGCTTTATTCTTATCTTTGTACTCTAGAAGTTCTTGGCGACTAGTTTTGTTTGCTCTTTCGAAAGCGCTATCAATGATGTTGTTATTGTATCCTCGAACAACTAGATGTTTACGTAGTTGTCCAAGTCTAGCATTTTGCGTATTTTCAGTAGAGCATATTCTCTTGATTCGCAATGCCTGGCTGAATGGGATGCCACGGGAGCAGTGTTTAGGATGGCAACTTTTAGGAGAAAGGAATTGATGTTTGTCCGTTTGTTTGGTGTGAAGGTCCGTTATAATGGTTCCGTTCTTGATGTAACTCGTAGTGTCGAGGAAGTTTATTTTCTCCATAGATGATTCATATGTAAATTTTATTGAATGGTGGAAAGAGTTACAGTGTCCATTTTTGGATCCACCAACTCCACACTTTAGAACCTGATGGTCTTAACGAAAAAGATGAGAAAAGATACAGGAAAGATAAAGAATAATTTAGTACACAGCATCGTCCTTTTTATCCTGTAATATTGGCCAATGGACGTTGCTAACTTCAACTACCAATTTTGTAAAAATCTTGAACTTCATTCAAATTATTTATTATTTTCCAGGCAGCTAAATTCAAGTGCAACATATACATTGAGCTGCAAAAGTTTCTTATCATCTACATCCGATTTCACCTGGATAGATGCACGCTTGATAAAGCTAGTTAGTCTAGCGAAATATTGCGTTTATTTTCATCATTTTGTAAATATTTTAAACATTCTTATATTTACATACTAAATAGTGTGTTAAAATTACATTGTTAGGCAATCTATAATTTTATTTGTGTAATTGAATTAATCTCTGTACTGATTAATCCACACTCCCATAGATTTGTATGTCATGTGCTGCTATTTATAGGCACTTATATATATATATAATATATATATATATATATAAAGTAAATTTACGTGAAATCGACAACAATTTGAAGCTCCATGTTATCGCTTACATTTGGTTAAATTCTCTCAAAGTGTTACTCTTAACATAAACTTGGAAAATATTTCTTTTTATTTTATATTTTAAACCTTTGGAGGCAATAATCCCAAATATAACACAATATTTCTTTTAAAGTTAAGGAGTTATAAATTCACCTGTGAATTACAATAATCACAAAGCTAGGCAAAGGACAAGGTACGATAAGGGACGTTTTTGGCCCCCTATCCAAATCAGTTTATATTAATATCATTGATGGTCTTAGTATAGAAACTTGAAAAAAAAAACAATGATTTTATTGTGTTCTGGTGAAAGGAAGGTTGCCTAGCAACGGTTTTTAATAAATATCAAAATTATCACAATCATATTAATTTATTCATCAGTACAAATTAGATCAATTCCAAATAATATTGTTTGATTGAGAAGAACTTGACAAATGAATAGTCCCTTTGATTTCGTTTACTATATGCTTAAAAACAACATAGCAACAGAAATGGTGCCTAGCAACGGTTCAAAAATGGGTGTTTTTACCCTCGGAAGTATGAATATAGCAGTTGTTTGAAGATTTATCTTAATCATCATTATTCTTTTTAACAAATTCCGTATTAAGCATAGCAACACAAATGTTGCTTAGCAACATCAAACAAATGTTTGAATTAAAAAAAATACAAACCAATTAGTCATTTTATTGTACAAATAAAATCAATAGCAATGCAGATTGTCTGTTTATGAACAACGATTAGTTAGAAATGAAAAGTCAATTCAATTGTAGTTCACTTAATGCTTATCAACAACTTAGCTACATAACAAATACATGGCAACCGTTCAATAATGGGTTCGTTATGTTATATGAAGTATGAATTTAGTAATTTAGTATACTTTCTCATATGATGTTACACTATAATATAAACATCTAATTTATCATTAATCTTTTTTGACGAATTCTATATCAAGCATAGAAACACACATGTTGCTTAGCAACAGTAAACATTTTTTTTTTTAAATTAAAGACATCTACAAAACCTATGTTTCAATGTGAAGGTCTTTTCATGAAAACAAGAATATAAAGAATTTACTAATAAGGGATGGTTCTGAACAGTTTTTAAAGATTTTTAACAGTTAATGAAACGAAAGAGACGTGGCTTGTACCACAAACAGACTTCGTTTGGAACAAAATGTCTAATCCTGGCAATTAAGAATTAATATGATGTAGGGGTGAGGATATGAATATGTCCTATGGGTACAAAACCTATGGTGAATTAGAAATGGCTTATCAAAGCAATGTGTGGGGATATAAACAATTTTGGAGATAATTAACGATTCATTATATAATGGGGATATGACCTCAAGGGATATATCCTTCGGTGCAGTGAAAAGGGAATTGACATAGCCTGTAAAAATATATATTGTTTTTGAGCTGGACATATAAAACTCAATTATTTTACCTTGAAAGTCAAAGGTCAAGAGCAAAACTCCAATTATTTTGACCTAGAGATCAAAGGTAAAGGTCACAATGACATTAGACTAATATGATATCTTATTGTTATGCACTTTATGCCAAATATCACAAGTCAATGTAAAAAAAAATGAATAAGTATAGAAATAAGGAGATGTGGTTTGATTGCAAATGAGACAACTATCCACCTAAGTTCAAATGAAGTGGATGTAAGCAAACATAGGCAACCGTACGATCTTCAACAATGAGAAAAACCTATACCGTATAGTCGGCTATAAAAGGCCCCGACATGATAATATGAAACAATTCATTTAAGAAAACTAACGGCGAAATCTATAACAAAACAAGTTACGAAAAACAAATATGACCGACATGAACCAACGACAACACTGAACTAAACGCTCCTGACTGTGGACAGGCACATACAAAATGTGGCGGGGTTAAACATGTTTGTGAGCGCCCAACCCTTCCCTAACAAGGGAAAGTGGTGCTTCATACAAAATGTGCTTCGGTCATTGCTTTAACGACCAAATTACAAAAAGAAGTATTTAATTCTTATGAAGACCACTACTTAAATGCACACAAACATACAGAATAATAGTGATTATGTGTATAGTATTATTTTCCAAGTGTGAATAAGACATTTACAATCACATTTGTCTGTTGTAGTTAATTTGCGAATATTAGATATTCATCTTTAAAAACACAATGCACAATTTGGTGCACAGTTTCGCTTGGTTGGTCATTTTTTCACTCAGCGCAAAACTCATGAGACAAACAAACACCGCCTCGGTTGTCTCGTCATACCGTGTTCGCCTCGAGTTCCGGATATCGTGGGTTCTGACCCCGGCTGGGTCAAACCAAAGACTTTAAAATTGGGATTTGCTGATTCTCCGCTAATTACGTGGCATTAAGGGGTAAGAGCAAAGACTAGTTGGCTCGGAGTCAGAATAAATAGTGTCCAGGTAGGGTGATATGTCTTCCTGCTGACTGTAATCTTGTGAGCTAACACGTTAAAAATCATGACACAAACCACCCATGCAGTAACACGATGTCCAGTAGTCAGCACTTCTGTGTTAACATGAATTATCATTGATAAGGTCACATTTATTAATTAACTGTTAACAAAACTTTGAATTGTTTGAAAAACTACGGACTTACTATTCGGGGAATAGACAACATTAGCTGTATTTGACAAAACGTTTCGGAATTTTGAGTCGTGTACATTTGTAATATCCTGACTTAAAAGAAATTGAACTTCTCCCAGAATGTATAAATTTACATGGACAAATATAGTACAACTGTTTACCTTTGTAACATCGTGACGTAAAATGAATGGAACTTCTCCCGAAGTACAGCTAGAATCTTCAGAACAGTGAATTGGGTCGTCGTAATCAAAACGTAGTTCCATTGAATTTTCGGTCTTAATGGCATTATAGGTTTGTTGAGCATAGTAATAACCATTTCTTAAAAGTTGTCTGTATCCACCAGTACTTACAGAAAAATGTATCTTGTACCTAAATATAAAAATAATGATATACAGGTTTTTCATCAATAGTCTTTTCACGTATGAAGTGGTTTAAAAATTTGTACATTTTACATTATCATTACATACAAAATATGTAAACCAGGAGCATTAGCTGTCAAATTCATGTTTATCGGTTTGACTCAAATTCTCATATTTGATTTATAGCATACTAAATCTTATATCCAAATTACAAAAAGTCTAAAATAAACAATTAACCATGAATGGACTCGATAATACGTATAGGCATTTCGTGTGTATTTTAGTCTAGACGCCATCTAATTAACTATTCAGATGACCTCCGAAGACTGACAATGCTAATATAAGTACTTGATACAGAACAAAGGTAACAAAAACAGGCTGGTAACTACCGTTGCCGTATAGTTTTTCTGCACGATTAGTCAGGTCAAAGTCTTAAAGTGACAAGCAAAAAAAAAACCTTTAATCTATATTTCCTATCATAATAGTCTAGAAATGATTTAATCTCTTTCGTACCCATTTTATATTTCAATAGCAAATAAATTGCCAAAAGTTGAGAGGGGGGCTTATAATTTCACCTCACTTTTGCAAGTGTGTAACGCGGGTAGTGTGTAATGCGGGTATGGCCCCCTTTCTCGGCTCCTACGCCCTGCATTTATTAATACCCCCCACACTAACAAAAAAGCATACATACGTACAAATAAACAAAACCAAACAAAAAAATATGTTTTGCCTCCTCTCTCCCCATTTTGAAAGTGGAGGGGGGGGGGGGGGCAATTGCCCCTTCCCCGGCTCATACCCCCCCCCCCCACCCCACATCTCCCCAATAAAAAAAATAAACAAAAATATGAATAATAGATTTAAGACATTAAAAAATTCAACGAAGTATGAAAATGAAATAAGAAAGAATAATCAGACAAACGTAAATACAATATGTATAGATATGAAATCAATAAAATAGAGAACAAAATATATAAATATAAAAAAAAGATTTATCTTTTTTTTTATGGGGAACAACATGTAATGAAAAATAACTGATTTTGTCTCGTTTCAAATTTTTTGATTCACTTATTTTGGAAATCAAATTTTTTTTCGTTTAATTTCATGATCATTACAGTAATGTGATATTCGAGTAGACTCAAGTATTGATCACGTGACACAGTATTTTTTTCATTTTCCTTCCCTATATCCAAAATGGGTGGTAGTTTATTTGACGTTGAGACTGATTTTGCGATATCACAATTTGACTTAAACAAAATCCTTGAACATGAAGAGAAGAGGGGAAATCCTCCGTATAGTTCGATTTAGACGATTCTCAAGATTTCAGCTTAACTGCTAAGCAAACCCACGAAAGGTTTGTACATGGAAACATTTGATGGTTGCAGTTACGCTCGCCGTCTCTTTATTTAAAAAATATGTTAATCGTCGTTTTACCTGTATAAGAAGGATTTTTATGAATCGAATCAAGTCAACCAAATTGTTCACCCTTGTTTCTCTTTCATTGTTGACATTCTTTTCCTTTCAATAGCTGAACACGCATAGCACATACATAACCTATATCTAACTAAGAGGTTAAATTGACGGTCACATGAATACTGATTCAATAATGTTAAATTATTGACTTGCAAGTCGATAAAATGTTTTTGAGTCTATTTGAGTCTATTTTGACAAATTTGAGCCAAACTAACTGCTTATATCGAAATATTATTTAAAAATTCTGCTTTTATTAATAATTGAAACAAAAAGAATCGGATTTAAAATGTTTGTCTTAATCGTAGCTAATGCCCCTTTAAAGGTTATACCAGTATTTTCATTTTCAGTATGATATTCGTCACAAATAATAATTTAAGAAATAGGTAATACATGTAGTACATGTGGCCTGATACTATAATATCGAGCCACTATACAGAATACATGTACTATCTTTTAAGTTATGATATGTGACCAGTCATACATAAAATGAAAATACTGGTATATTATTAAACTTATGAAAAAGTCTTGAAAAATATCTAGTTCCAGGCTTAAAGTATTTAAACATCATTTCTTAAGTTAGTACCATCAACCTAAAGAGATGCTGACGATAACTGAATGCGCTATGTGATTATATAAGAGTGTGGATGGGGGATACAGAATAGAGAATAATGGGCAAAAAATATAAACCATATAATAGGTAAACTGTCGAAAACTTATATAATCCGGAGTCAATATTCAGGAAAATGAAAATAGTCTTTTCAGGAAATCAACGACCAAACAATGTGATACTGACAAAAACTGTGCTGAGAACAAAGTGAGACTTATGTTATGAACGTTTGTCGTTTATTACTATTACACTCAGACACACAAGACCTATACTAGAAATTGGAATTCCAATTCGTACTGGGAGGATTCTGGATTTTACTGAATGCCGATTTGTTTGTAACACACACATTTATATTTATTTATTGTTCTTTTACCTGTCACCGGAGTCAAACTGTATTATATAAGTGGTTTTCAAATCGCATGATAAATCGGTTTTCGGTGTTGTACTAGAAAGATTCGGGCATTCAAGGTTTCTACGTTTTGCCTCAATGTGACCTGCATAAAATACAAAAATATACCTTTGTCAAATAATATCACATAATTAAATACTACATAAATTTGTATTAAAAGTTGTTGAAACATAAATATAGACATGTGAAAGTGAAAACAAAAATATACAAAGTAAAATAATTACGGGATACACTGACTAGGGCTTAATTATTTCATTAGACCTTGAGTACAAGTATTAGATACAAAACAAAGGTAACAAAAAAAAACAGGCTGGTAACAACCCTTGCCGTTACCTTGACCTGACTACAAATGCAGAAAAACTATACGGCTAGTTGTTACAAGTCCGTTTCTTTTGTTACTTTTGTTTGTATCTGACTTGTACGGCGTTTCTAATTAGAAAGTAATACATTTTGCATTTAAGACTATTGCATAATTAAAAAAGATTGAACACAAAAATAATTGCATACCGGTTTATGAACCACTATGTTAAGAGATATTTAGTCTTTAATAAAGTAGGGATTTTGTGTTAACACTAACGCTTCTCAATTCTATAAGCTGTGTGCGAGTAAAATTGTTGCTTATTTCTTTGATACACACCAGTGAAGTTTTAAAAGTTGGGAGGACGGACTTCTAAAAGTGACAAGGAAAAAAAAAGACCTTTAATTTATATTTTGAATCACAATAGTCTAATAGAAATAAGAAGATGTGGTATGAGTGCCAATGAGACAACTCTCCATCCAAGTCACAATGTGTAAAAAGTAAACAATTATAGGTGAAAGTACGGCCTTCAACACGGAGCCTTGGCTCACACCGAACAGCAAGCTATAAAGGGCCCCAAAATGACTAGTGTAAAACAATTCAAACAGGAAAACTAACGGTCTAATCTATATAAAAAACGAGAAACGAGAAACACTTAAGAACCACATCAACAAACGACAACCACTGAAACAGGTTTCTGACTTAGGACAGGTGCAAAAAAATGCAGCGGGTTTAAACGTTTTAACAGGCGCCAACCTTCACCTTAACCTGAAATAGTAGTGTAACATTATAAAATATCAATTGAAATGGCTTAACGCAAGCAAAAAGATATATTAACAAAAACAAGTAAACATACATTGAACGAATAAATTTGATCTATGACACAATGTCAAAAAGACAACTATAACCTTGGACAAAATGGCGTCAAATAGAATAACGTACACAGGTAAATTTAAATATAATAATTTTGTTGTTAGGAGTACGGAGATATTGTTTACAAAATAAATAAATTTGTTGTTCACAGTACGAGAAAATTTATCGTCATATTAAATACTTATCAAAGGTGGTACATATTAAAAATAGTGAGACGAGATATAACACAAAATAAGTAAACATTGATTACAAAAATGCATTAACAATTGTGTAACAGGTCAAATTAACACGAAAGTACGATTTGAGAGCACTCACAGTTACCGAAATCTAGTTAAAAGCCAAAAACAATTAATAATAAAAAATCATGCATCAGAGACTAAAATCAACTAAAACACATCCCAAGGATTTAGTGTTTTGACGCCATGGACAGTCAGAGAAGACATGACTTGTGCAATGCCAAAATAAAAGTATCGACGGGCAGTAGGATAGTTTGGATTTAACCTTATAATAAATATGTATAATGTTATATATAGATAAAGCAATCTCTATATAGAAAATGAACGTGGATGTGTATTTATACATAAAAAAAAAACATTCGAAAAGAATACAAATTTAGTTATGTTTTAATTTGTTGATGAGAAAATCGATATTTTTGCCAATGTAAACAATATTCAAAGATCTTATTACAACATTAATAAGATACCCTTTACTAATAAGTTAGTTTATATGTTCGATGAGTTTACACGGATCACATAGTGATTTCCGCGCTTTTAGTACAGTATTACCGCAAAATTTAGGATGTGAAATACCGTTTTTGATCAGTTTTCTACAAGTACAGCCAAATTTACTAATCAAATCTTTGTATCTATGAAAGAATTTAGTGAAAGTTTTAAGTAATTTATGGTAACGAAATCCCTGACTTAATAATTTACCAGTGATGCATTGATTACGTTCGTTAAAATCTATGACATCACTACGCACACGGGCATAACGAACGAGTTGGGATATATAAACACCGTATGACGGAACCAAAGGAACATCGCCGTCTAAAAAAGGAAAATTAACAATAGGGAATGAAAAATCGTCTCTTTTGTCGTAAATTTTTGTATGGAGTTTCCCTTTAGAAATTGAAACGCCTAAATCTAGAAAAGGACAACTACTGCTCTTTATGTTAGATTTATTTAAAGTAAGTTCCTTTGGGTAAATTTCGGTAGTATATTTAGAGAACTCTTGATTATTTAACGAAAAAATATCATCAAGATAACGGTAGGTATTGTTGAATGTGTCAACCAAATGTAACAATGACGTGTCTTTACTGAGTTTGGTCATAAACTGAGATTCATAGCAATACAGGAATAAATCTGCTATTAAAGGGGCGCAATTAGTGCCCATAGGAATACCTACTACCTGTCGATGCACTTTATCGCCGAAACGTACATATATGTTGTCCAGGAGAAAATTTAAAGATTCAATCACATGTTCACATTCCTAGTAAGTGTATCTAGCATACTTTCCTTTTTCGTTACAGAAAAAGGCTTTAAACGAGTTACAACAAATAAATTTGCAACGTGATTTTTCAAAAGACCATTTAATTAAATATGAAAACTTTTTCTTGATGAGATTGTGTGGAAGTGTAGTGTAGAGAGTAGAAAAATCATAACTGTCAACAGAATTAAAAGGACCATCAAAAACACGAATTTTATCTAAAACCTCTAAAGAATTTTTAACACTCCCAAAATAATTAATACCATTATTTTCATAAGCTTTATTACAAAAGTTAATAACAACTTCTTTGATAGTAGTAAGGGAGGTAGTTAGAAGCACTGACGGATTAGTAGTAGAACACTTACTAGATGCGGAGATGAAAAGAAATTTAAATGGTTGTTTGTGTAATTTAGGTAACCAGTACATAGTCGGGACTTTCAAATGTTCAGAAGAGGCTTAAAGCTGGGTAGTGGCAGTGATATGCTTGTTTACAATTTGACTCTCTGTGGAGCGTACGGACCTGAATGTAGAAGAATTGATAATTTCGTTTTGGAGAACTTCCGTGTAGTATATGCGTCACACCACCACTACATTATTGGCTGCTTTGTCTGTCGGTACGAACACAAACCGCTTTGCGAGTACTTGGAGTTTATTTTTTATTCTAGGAATGGGTATATCATGAACCCTATTATTAATTTCAGAATTGTTTTCAAAATCAGATATACGAATATCAACAGTATTCATAATTTTATTCAAAAAACTGTCCAGAGATTTTTTATCAGATTTTTCACGTTTGTACCAATTTTTACAGTAGGCAGACAGAGCGTCTGTTTCCAATCTGTTATAGATGGAGGACAATATTTAGGTCCTTTCTTAAGAAAAGTTTTGACCTCACGGTCTTCAACGATGTTGAGTTCTCCTATAATGACATGACCATAGGGAACATATCTATAACTAGATGTTTCACACTCAAGTGGAAGGAGCATTATTTTCTATATTGACGTCTGATGTTACTGACGTATAATTAAAATTCAAACTTCTGCTGGTTTTTTTCTACGAATACGAAATAATAGGTGGTTATGGATGGTAGAGTCATTGAATATACTAGATAAGTTAATAAAATCAGTACCTCTATTTATATATTTTAATTTAAGAAAATGCCGTTTATGATTTTCAGGTTTATCGATACTAGGAAACAGCCTGTGATGACAAAAGGCTGTAATAATACGGTTGTATTCATACAACGGGCTAAAAAAGAAATTTTATCACACTACAGAAAAATATCATATAATTTACTTATTGGTATATGACCAAGTTTCCATAATAATTTATGTCTACCATTATTTTTTATTATAGATAACAGATCAGCAATTGTATAATTTATACGATGTTTAATACGTAGATTACGGTTTTTACGTTTACCATGAGACCTATTATTTAATAGTCTAGAAATAAGTTAATGTCCTCTTTCGTAGCCATTTTATATTTTGATAACAGAATGAATTGCCCAAAGTGGGAGGGGGCTTAAAGGTTTGGCCCCTCACTTTTGCAAGTGTGTAATGCGGGTATGGCCCCCTTTACTCGGCTCCTATGCCCCTGAACTTATATATACCCCTCCACAACAAGAAAAAAGCATACATATGTATAAACAAGCAAAATCAAACAACGAAATATGTTTTGACTCCTCCCTCCAACATTTTGAAAGTGATTTTGGGGAGGGGGCAATTACCTCCTTCCCCGGCTCATACCCACCCCCCCAAAAAAAAAAACCAAAATAAACAACAAAAATATGAATAACAGATGTGACACATTAAAAATTTCAACGAAGTATGAAAATGAAATAAGAAAGAATAATCAGACAAACGTAGATACAACATGTAAAAATATGAAATCAATAAAATGAAAAAAAAAAACCAAAATATATAGATATAAGAAAAAGCTGTTTCTCTTTTTTTGTGGGGAATAACATGTAATGAAAAATAATGGATTTTGTCTCGTTTTAAATTTTTTGATTCACTTATTTTGGAAATCTTTTTTTTTTTTTTTTTTAATTTCATGCTCATTACAATAATGTGATATTCGAGACGACCCAAGTATTGATCACGTGACACAATTTTTTTTTTTCGTTTTCCATCTGCTCCCTATATCCAAAATGGGTGGTAGTTTATTTGACGTTGAGACTGATTTTGCGATATCACAATTCGACTTAAACAAAATCCTTGAACATGAAGAGAAAAGGGGAAATCCTCCGTATTGTTCGATTCAGACGATTCGAAAGATTTCAGCTTAACTGCTAAGCTATCCCACGAGAGGTTTGTACATGGAAACATTTGATTGTTGCAGTTACTCTTGCAGTCAGTAACTTTGTATACACTTTATCTAATTTTAGCATTTTGGGATACAGTTAGATTTTATATATAATTTTTTGAACACTCTCGTGGGCTTGCTTAGCAGTTAAGCTGAAATCTTTTAAATCGTCTAAATCGTACTATTCGGAGGATTTCCCCTTTTCTCTTCCTTTTCAAGGAATTTGCTGAAGTCGAATTATGAAAGAACAAAATCAATCTTAACGTCAAAAACTACCACCCATTTTGGATAAAGGGATATAAAATGAAAAAAAAAATATTGTGTCACGTGATCAGTACCTTGGTCTACTCGAATATCACATTATTGTAAAATCAAATCAAATCAAATCAATTTTATTGTTGTAAAACCCAAATATTGGATTGTTACCAAGACAAACATGACAATATTTACAAACATACAATAATTTAAATTAAACAACTTTGATATTATATAAGTAAATCATATATTTATATATTTTGGAGGTGTAATGAGCATGAAATTAAACAACAGCAAAAACTAATTCCAAAGTAAGTGGATCAAAAAATTTAAAATCGAGACAAAATCAATTATTTTTCATTACATGTTATTCCACATAAAAAAGAGGAACAGCTTTTTTTTTATATTTATATATTTCGTTCTTTATTATATTGATTTTTACAATATTTATTCATGTTGTATTTACGTTTGTCTGATTACTCTTTCTTATTTCATTATTTCATTTGCATACGTCGTTGAATTTTTAAATGTCTTAAATATGTTATTCATATTTTTGTTGTTTATTTTGTTTGGTTTGGTTTTTGTTTTATTTTGTTTTTGTTTTTTTTTGGGGGGGGTATGAGTCAGGGAAGGGGGCAATCCCCCCCCCCTCGGCTTTCAAAATTGGGGGAGGGAGGAGGCAAAACATATTTCTTTGTTTGGCTTTGTTTGTTTAAGCGTATGTATGTTTTTTTCTTGGTGTGGAGGGGTATATATAAATGCAGGGGTGTCGGAGCCGGAAAAGGGAACCATACCCGCATTACACACTTGCAAAGGTGAGGGGCAAAACTATAAGCCCCTCTTCCACTTTTGGTAATTTATTTTGTTATTAAAATGTAAAGTGGCTACGAAAGATTACATTAGGTTATTTCTAGACTATTAGATTATTATGATAGAAAATATAGATTAAAGGTCTTTTTTTTTTGCTTGTCACTTGAAGAAGTCCCGCTCAAGTTTCGTTAAATGATGTTAGACGAAAATGTATAGCATATTCAGGGTTTCAAGTATTGCCAGACCTACTTTGTACTGCGTATATATGATGCAGTTATGCAGGGTATATATATTTCAACATAACTAATCGTTCAAATTTAATTTTATGTAACATACGTTTCTAAAAAAGAATTCCTTAAAGGTACGATTCAGGTGTGGAAAATATCATCTGACCTGTCTCTTAACGCAGTTTGAATTGAATGTTAAATTGAATTTGATTTGGCAATTAGGGCAGTTATAAGGGTGGCAGTTTTTGTATGATACACGGTCCAATGAGAAATACAAACCACTCTCTCTGGTAAGTTGCAAAGAGTTGCCCCAGCGTATGCGAACAAATTGTAACATGTTGATCAAGGGACATGAACGATTTTTACTTTTCATTTTGAAAAGGAAGTTCAAAATGATGATGAATATATACTGTAAAGTCATCTGACAATTTATGTCAAATAAAAGAAAACCGTACTTTTCGTAAAGTTTCGGTAAAATAATCTGTTGTGACCTTGACCTTTTGCTCAAGTGACCTCAAAACCTGTAGGATAGGCATATGCCCTAAAGGGTATCTGGAAACCTAATATTAGGTCCAATTTCAGTCTGTATTGATCTTTGACCTAGTGATCACAAAATCAAAAGAATGTATTTCACCGTAATTCTCATCTTATATCAAAGAATTGATTTTTGGATAAAAAGATATTGTCCAGAAACAAAACTTTTACCGAAATTTCCTTAATTTATAATAGGCATTGTGACCTTGACTATTAACCTACTAACTAAAGAATCCATAGGGGTATGTTTCTTTTCAATAGACATGTGTATGTTTCGTGTGGTGAAGGTGAAAATTCCCCTTTGATATATTAATAAATCATTTAGAAAATAAGATTCCAACTCACTCAGACAAAGTTTACCGTAGATGAATTTGACTATTTGTTTCGGTTATTTTTGGTCATATAGGTCCTAACGTTTCCACATATTTATACATCCCTGGCATTGAAATGTTTAGGTCTGAGCATTCCTGGTGAAGGTAAATCTAATGCACAAAAGTTATCAAGTGTATTACTTAGTTCTTTGGACATAGGGTCCAAAAAATATCAGCATGAAGCAAAAATTAAAAAAAAACACTTGGCCTTATTTTATCTATCTATTGCTGTTGTGACCTTAACCTTTGGCCTGTTGACCTGAAAAAAATAGGGCTCCTTTTCATTCTATGGGGTATTATTGAATTAAATTTTGTTAAAGTTGGACATATTCTAAATACTTCATCCGTAATCAAAACTGTACCAACATTTTAATCTATCAAAAGCTGCTGTTACATTAGAATAATAAATAATTTGATGCTTGTATGGTACGAAAAAATGCATATTTTAGATATTTGTAAGGATGCCAGGACTTAAGCGAAAATATATCAACAGGTGACCGTTGGTTTTACTTATGCTTAACATGTAGATAATCATATCTCACCTCCATTTCTCAGTTTCGTATGTATAACAGTTGCATTGGCAGAAACAATCCCAAACTTTACCGTCCTGATGTAGCTTGGTAGACTTGGGTTACGGGAAAATACATATTTATCGTCTAATGAGGCTTTCAAATGAAATTCCAGCTTATTGAACTTCCCTTGGTTTGTCCATGTTATGTCAGCCGTTGTCATGTGAGTGGCATCACTTTTGTAACTGTATTGATCTATATTTTTCGTTTCTTGGTGATAGGTGAAGGTGGCATTGATCTTCTCTATAGTTGGCAAGAAATCACGGCTTTGCACTATTAAAATAATAATGATTACGCAACAAAATATAAAACAAAGCACCAGTTCATACTGTACGATCATAAATAGTATTCAATAATGAGTATGCTGGAAACACACTATATTTGCAGATGTATAACAGCGTATGACATAAACTAAATAAAGTAAAATCTACGGAGAATGTTGTGACATAGATCATGGCTGACGAATGTATACTAGTAACATACTGCAGGTCTACATCTGATAACTTTTTAAATAGAAAAATATGTCGGTATTTAAAAAAAATGTAAAGATTTTTTGTTTCGAAACATTCGATATTAATGTTAGGATATATAATTAGAATAATTCTTTTTAAAGAATATATTCATATTTACAATTTAAGCAGCTCCCTCCACCAAATCCATCTGAGCAGACACATGTACTGCCATAACACTTCCCGGGATAACAAGGTCTGAGATGAGAACATGCTGACACTGTAGAAAATAAAGAATTGCTTTTAAAGCTGCAAATGTACAAATTCATGTAACTGTACTTAATATTTAACGTACAATATTAGAAATATTCCCACATTTATAGATAAGATAACTGTAAATGTATTAGAATTAACACATTAACAATAAAACACAATACAGACAGACTACAATAGCATATGTACAATGAAGGAGTGACAGTGGATAAGTGTGAGAAAAATGGTCTGAGATGAGTACATGTTGACACTGTAGAAAATAAAGAATTGCTTGTAACTGTTCTAATATATAAAGTACAATATTCGTAATATTCCCACATTTATATTATGTGGGTGTAATATTTGACGAAATATAAATATCCCACCCTTTGTGTTATAGTTAGATTGATTGATTTATAGTTGTTTGCTTAACGCCCAGAGGTACATTTTTGTTTGAAAGCTATTGCCAAAGTTTACATGAGCTTAAATTACATATACATGTAGGGAACTGATCAGGCATATGAAGTTTGAATATCATATTCTCCATTTCAATCCACAAATTTCGACAATTTTCTACCACTTGGCCGATACTGCTGGTTAGTGTCCGCGGATATTATAAAAGTAGACAATGCTTTGAACATGACATGAGGTATAACAACCATTTCTTAAATTTTCCTTTATTAAATTTAGAAATACAGGCAAAGGAGTATGCCCGGTAAAATCCCTTTTTGGACCCAAAATATAGCATTTCAAAAATTTGTTAAAAATGTAAACTTTTAGCTAATTATTGGAAAGTTGAATACTTTTGTTACATAAATATGGGCTGTTTTTGACAATACAATGCACTTTCATCAAGTACTAGCAATAGTAATTCATGTAAAATTACTGAAATCTTCACAATTTTAGCATTTGTGTTAATTTTTAGACGGTTTTTGTCTAAAAATGGAAGTGGCCGCACTTGTGTTCAGTCTTAATATTTAGATATATGTTGTATTTGATGATATTATATAACATATAAAGATTGAGACTGAACACGAATGCGGCCACTTTCATTTAAGACAAAAGCCATCTAAAAAGTGACGTTTGATGGCATATTTGAAAGATTTTTCATATTTAAGCTTGAATTTGAGCGTTTTTGATGACCAAATCAGTTCAAATCTTTTATAAAAAATAATAGAATCGACTGAAGTAGACACTTACTTAAATGTTTAAAAAATGTCAAAAGTCTTTCATCAGATGTACTTCAAGTTTGAGGCTAAAATAAGCTCTTACCGGACCTTCTCCGACCTTAAATATATTTGTCTATTCTTATCAGGTCCCTTTTAGTCAAATAGTTCCTCATAAATTCCAGTATTCATTCATCCTTGGCTTTCAAATTTTTGGGTTTGAGCGGTCCTGGTGAAAGGTCTGCCAGCAGTCCTTTTGTGCCAATTGTGGTTTTTAAGAATAAGGGACTATTGGTGCAAGATATGCCAAAATGATAAGAAAGTAGATGCTTTTGCTTATTATGTGTTATCCATAGATGTTGATGACAATGCTTTTTTCCACAATCCGTATGGATTGAAACTTCAACATCCAGTAGACGCACTAATGATGGACCATATAGGCATTTCATAATCACTACAATGAACTCGTGCTGTGTGGAGGCCGTAGACAGTTTCCCCGTGCTTGATATGTATGCTCTTCTGTATTTTTAAAGTTATGATGTATTTATTCTTGACATATTTGTGTCATGGATGGATACCCCATATCCTTTGTTTTTCTATTCTTTTTTATCGCATCCATTTATATCTGTTTTTGTTTAGACATTATCATAAATTTTAAGCTTATTCTTACATTAAATTATATTGCGCAATGCTAATGCAACAGCAGTAAGAAGCAGACATAACTCAGAAAAGGAAACATTTGCCGTTGAAAAATACCAGAATTATACAAGATTACACGAGAGGAGAACACTTACGGAAGCCCATTTAGGACCTTCCAAAAATATAATTTGAATTCGAAATCACGAATTTAAATCGTTATCACGAATTGTATAATTTGTTATAACAGATTAAATTTGTGATAACGAATTGGTGGAAATCGTTATAACAGATTTTATAATCCGTAATTACGAATTAAATTCGTTATCACCATTTTTTGTAATTTGTGATAACGAATTAAAATCGTTATAACGAATTGTATAATTTGTTATAACGGAATATATTCGTGATAACGAATTTGTGGAATTCGTTATCACAGTTTTTTTTGTAATTTGTGATTTCGGATTAAAATTCATTATCACAGATTTTTAGCTCACCTGACCCACAGGGTTAAGTGAGATTTTCTCCTCACTTTGCGCCCGTCGATTATGTTTGTCTTAAATTAAAATGTTCACCCTTTAATATAATTATGTTGTCCATCTGTAAATAGTTTTATGTTTTGCTTGGATACTTTAAAAAAAAGTATTTTATTAAACTACACTAAATGGCTGTTTACTCAGTTACTCAGTCAATGTAAAATGCCGGTCCAATACTATATATAAAACGAAAGATGGAAGTTACTGTTTTTCATTTAAATAAATTGACGTAATCGTATACTTTATTCTTCGTGCAAATGATACTATGCATTTTAAAAAAACTAGTGATGCAAACGTAGCATTGTTGTGGGTAAATTCAGAGATTTGTAACGCAATAGTTCAAAAGGTAACAGTAAAGAGGAAGACATATCACTCTTCACGGATACACCGTTCTGACTCCGTGTCTACCAGTATTTGCTTCGCGTATTTAGCAGTGAAGCAGCAAATACATATTGTCAAGTCTTTGTTTTGACCCAGCCAAGGACCGAACCAGCGACCTTCCGCATTCTATTAGAGCACTCTACCACGAGATCAATTAACGAGGCTAAGAAACTAAATTTCCAACTACCTAAGGCAAAATCATCCTTAACTGGTTTTGGCAATACTGTTAAATTTACGTTGGGTTATATATAGCACCTTAAGTATTCATACATCCCTTGCTTTTTTTTTATTATTATTTTTTAAAATTTTTAAATTATTTTTGAGCGAGTCCGGGTGAAGGTAAATCCAGAAAAACGCTTCTGACCAATCAAGTTTATATAAAAAAAAAATTATATGCTACTGAATATGATGGAGGATGCATGAATTGCAGTAGATACAAGCCTACCGACGCACTTGATCTCGCATCATTCGGAGTTTATGCGATTCGAAATGTCAGCCCTCTTCATCGATTGTGACATAACCGAATGAGACATCTCCGAATTAGTATTTACCATAAGTAACACGACTGGTGCCACTAGTGAAACAGAGAATCTGCTTACCCTTCCAGAGCACATGAGCTCACTCCCAGTTTTTGGTTGGCTCCGTGATGCTCAGTCTTTAGTTGTCTATGTAGTGTTTGTGAACTTTTTAGTTTCTCTAAGTATTTTCAGCCGCATTTTCATTCTCTTTTTTTCTAGTTTTACCTGGACCTGAGATATTGATTTTTTCAAAGACATTTGAGATATAATTGAGAATAGAAATGGGGATTGTGTCAAAGAGATAACAAACCGACCAAAGAGCAGAAAATAGCCCTAGGCCACCAATGGGTCTTCAACGCAGCGAGAAAATCCCGCACCCGGAGTTGGGCTTCAGCTGGCCCCTAAACAATAATGTATAATAGTTCAGCGTAATGGACGTCACACTAAACTCCGAAACATATAAATGAACATACATTATAAAAACACACAAGACTAACAAAGGCTAGAAACAGTTATAATCAAAAATTCATTTTATTTACAATAACACTTTCATTAGAGTTTGTTTAAAAACTAGATTAACATTATAATTACCACCGGCGCAAATATCCCCTTTGTATGGATGTGGACACCTGCATTGATTTGGCTGAACACATGTTCCACCATTCCTGCACCCAGGTGAACATATAGCTGAAAAAGTAATACTTTTTTTCAAAGTTTCATCAATTTTGGAGAAGATGTATTACGCTTATAACGAGTCACTGAAACATTTTTCATACACAATTTACCTTATCTTACCTGGTTTTATTATTTACAAATATACTGTGGGACTTTAATTATAACGAAACATTTCAAATTTGTTTTCAACAGCACCAGAACTTTTATGTATATTGTAATTCTTATCATTTTATATTTCAAGTTCTACAGTATAAAACACCAGACTAAAGTTGACACCGTCTCATTGAAAGTTCGTACACATTTAATTATTCATAGATGTACCTAAAACTTTTCTGATTCTTAAACAGATGAACAAACATTTCTAGTTCAGTCTTACTGTGTAGAAAATACATAAACAGCAATTGTGACAGCAACTGTTTGAGGGTTTTAACATCCTCGAAAACAGGAAACTGGAACAATGGCCTATTATTGTTGCTCTATTTGAAACATCTCAAACATGATTGTATAAGGAAACCGACAAAATGCCATAGCTATGAAAAATAAGTATTTTTGTGCAAAAACAAAGATTTTGATAATAAAATCTTTAAACACAGGAAACAGGAAAATTTGTCAAATGTCATGCAACTTAACTTTAGATTTTTTTGTCAATATTACAATTTGTACCCAAAATTTATAATTCTATAATGGAAAGTTGAAATATTTAAAAAAATCTCATAATTTATGATATCTCAGTCAAACGGTCTTTCTTTTTTTATAAATCATCGAAAATAGTTCGGTGACGGAATACGAAAAAGTCGATTATTGAAAAAAGAATTAGAAAGTTTGCAATCATTCTACTGCAAAAGGGGTATTTAAATTGGATTTAAATATTCAATGAATTTTTTTGCGACCTCTGACATTGATTTCTGAAAAACTGCACCAAATTTTCTTTTGACGACCACGTTTATTTTTAAGTACACACATTGTCGAATCGAATGATATATGATATAGCCGTGTATTAGTTCTGACGATAAAATTAAAAAAATTCTGACCCTGGCCAACGCTGGCCACGCTAACATAGATTGAATGTTGAGTATTGCTATATATATGTAGATATATTAGACATTT